TTGAAAATAAAGATTGTCAAAAAAAAAAAAAAAATCAAGTCTATATGTTTTTTTTTTTGTTTTGTTTTTTTGTTTTTTTAAGAGCGATTTAATTTTTTTTGCCAGTCCATTATATCAATAGGTGGAGTCTGGAGTCATCTTTAAACTTTCCTAAGCTGCCACAGGTGATATTTAATTTTATTTTTCATGCCTCATACATATTTATTTGTTAATATAGTGAAAAGTAAATATATTATTAAAAAAAGAAAACATTAGAATGTTCTTCTTTAACATGTATAAAAAAAAAACAAAAACAAATGAGATGTTTTGAATTAGCACACAGTAGCTGTTATCTAGCCTCACATATTTGCAGATTTTGATAAGCATTGAAGAGTTACCATAATAGCAGTAGAAGAGCAAACATATTTGTAAGAGCACAAAAACAGATGATAAACAAGCAATTAGTTTTAAAAACTGGCTACCATGTATAAAATGATTTTCTTAATCGCTTTGATGTCCTGTCTATTCACTCTTTGAATTGCTGTGGTTTCCCTTGCAATGAAGCACATTTGCAAAGAAGTGGACCACATAGCTTTACAAATATTTTTTTTTTGCACAGTTATTGTTTGTGTATGAAAGTAGAATGATGAGAGTCTACGGGTACTTCTTTGTATGCTTTTATAGACATTTTTTCTGTACCTTGGAAAGCATCCAATTTAGTTTTTAGATAAATTCATTTTTCCATTATATATAAAAAAAAAAATCTCAATGGGCTATTTGATCTGCCATTTACTGGTAAGTAAAGTCTAATTTACAGAGTTATGTGCAGAGAAAGGCAAACCTTACTCAGACAATTACACTACTTTACCTGATACTCTATTCTCAGATGTTGAAAGCATTGCATCTGTCCGCTCTAAGCAGAACTTGAAAACTTAGATAATGGTGCTGTATTACAGATTATTGACTCCCCTTTGCAGCTATCATAGTTGCAGTGCCCGGTTTCAGTATCTAGAATAGGATGATTTAATTGCAACTTTTAGTGATGGAAACAACTTTTGCCATTAGACATAGACAGTCAATAAATTGCTTGTTGGCAGTTCTGTCTGAATGTGGCCTGATTATTTTCTGTGGAAAAGCAGGCATTGTTTGAAGTTATCACACTTATTGAAACCAAAGTATTTTTTTCATTATTGTTTTACTAAATCAAAATTCAATTTATACTTCATATAATTTAGTTGGATTTAATGTAGTATTTCACATGTTGCTTTTTTTGGAATGGTTTTACCATCTATATAATATTCACAGTAAATCCTTTATAATCATTGATACACATATAGTCATGTTAAAGGACCACTATAGTGCCAGGAAAACATACTCGTTTTCCTGGCACCGTAGTGCCCTGAGGTTGCCCCCTCCCGCCGGGCTCTGGGGAGAGGAAGGGGTTAAACACTTACCTTTCTCCAGCGCCGGGCGGGGAGCTTTCCTCCTCCTCTCCTTCTTCCTAGCGACGTCATCGGCTGCATGCGCATGTGCGGCAAGAGCCACGCGCACATTCAGCCAGTCTCATAGGAAAGCATTCATAATGCTTTCCTATGGACGCTGGTGTCTTCTCACTGTGATTTTCACAGTGAGAAGCACGCAAGCGCCTCTAGCGGCTGTCAATGAGACAGCCACTAGAGGCTTTTGAGGCTGGATTAACCCTGAGTGTAATCATAGCAGTTTCTCTGAAACTGCTATGTTTACAGCAATAAAAGGTTAAACCTAGCTGGACCTGGCACCCAGACCACTTCATTAAGCTGAAGTGGTCTGGGTGCCTATAGTGGTCCTTTAATGTTTTCTGTGAATTATTGGTATAATGCAAAGGGTTAGCATTTAAAGTCCTAACCTATAAACAGTAGCATGTGTGCATCTTTATGACATCATCTTACAACAATCAATGACTGTGAACTACTGCAAAAAATAAAATAAAAATGTATATGTCCAAGACAGCCTCTACTCCATCCTGGAGAAATATTTTCTGAAGAACAACCTCGAGTGCATTTCCATTGACACCGTAGTCACAAAGCAGTGATCAGAGGCCGCTTGATCCAGCTCAGTTCTATAGGAAAGAAACAATTCCTTTAAAGACCAACAGCAAATTACTTCTCAGCTAGCTGATTTAAATGACATGACTAAACAAATCATGCAGGTTAGAAAATGCCTTTAAGATCTTGTAGCAGAGAGCTGATTTCTCAGAGGATGCAGGAACAAGTAATAAATCCAAGAGAATATCCAGCACAATCAGCAAGGCAATCCAACAATACCCCATCACTTTCCCCACATCACTGGACGACACACAGTATCAGGAGTAGAACTGAACTTTTAATCACACAACCTTCTTTTGAAGCATTCTCCCATGCAAGGGAGGGATTTACAGTAATTACACAATACACCAATCATACACAAGTTGCCACCCACACATCCCCTCCCCTTAGTGTGACACATAATCCCATTATGTAAGACACAGTTCCCCTTGTTTTCTGGATGTACCCCTAAACCTAGGAGTACCCCTTTAAATATTACATCCCCTAGTAGCCCTGATCTGGATGAGACACATATCCCAAAATCACCCCGATCAGATCAGGGGTTCAGGAGTTATGGGGGTTTAAAGTTTTGTGGAGGTCCCTTTAGGCCCACTGAAGCATGGCTTTCCAGCCCAAACCAGTTCCAAGTAGTCTGGCAGTGTGCCTGGGACATGCCCTGCTGGAGAACAATGGGACAGGAAACGGGGGAGGGGTACACCTTCCTATACACAATCTATACACAGTCTAATAGAAGTCCATACACTGTGCTTAAAGGGCCAGTAGCCGCATAATAAAAAATCCATCATGCCCAAATACTGTCTTTAAAGGGCAATACCCCCAGGGCCATAGTCACATGGCAGGAGGCGGGCATTGTTACAGTCCCTAAACCTGGGAATACTCCCAGTAAAAATTTTCCTGGCACTATAGTGCCCTGAGGGTGCCCCCACCCTCAGGATCCCCCTCCTGCCCGGCTCTGGAAGGGGGAAAGGGGTAAAAACATACCTTTTTCCAGCGCTGGGCGGAGAGCTCTCCTCCTCCGATCCTCCTCTTCTCCTCCCCGTCGGCTGGCTGTGCACGTGCGGCAAGAGCTGCGCGCGCATTCAGCCGGTCACATAGGAAAGCATTCATAATGCTTTCCTATGGACGCTGGCGTGCTCTCACTGTGAAAATCACAGTGAGAAGCACGCAAGCGCCTCTAGTGGCTATCAATGAGACAGCCACTAGAGGAAATAGGGGAAGGCTTAACCCATTCATAAACATAGCAGTTTCTATGAAACTGCTATGTTTATGAAAAAAATGGGTTAACCCTAGCTGGACCTGGCACCCAGACCACTTCATTAAGCTGAAGTGGTCTGGGTGCCTAGAGTGGTCCTTTAAATATTAATTTCTCTACCATAAGCTGTCTCCAAAGGCATTTCAGAGAATTTGGCAGTACATCCAACCGCCCTCACAACCACAGATGACTTGTAACTACACCAGCCCAGGACCTCCACATCCAGCATCTTCACCTCCAAGGTCGTCTGAGACCAGCCCCCCGGACAGCTGCTGCAACAATCGGTTTGCATAACCAAAGAATTTCTGCACAAACTGTCAGAAACATCTCATGGAGCTCATCTGCATGCTCATCGGCCTCATCAAGGTCTCAACCAGACTGCAATTTGTTGTCATAACCGACTTGAGTGGGCAATTGCTCACATTCTATGGCGTCTTACACTTTGGAGAGGTGTTCTCTTCACAGAAGAATCCCTATTTTCACTGTACAGGGCAGATGGCAGACAGCGTGTATGGCGTTGTGTGGGTGAGCAGTTTGCTGATGTCAACGTTGTGAATCGAGTGGCCTATGGTGGCGGTGGGGTTATAATATGGGCTCCATATTGACTCATTTTTACAGTCCCAGCACTTAACTTAATATTGTTGTACAAGGAATCCAGTTTAAAATTGCAAGATCTCCGTTCCTTAGCAGGATCACATCTTGGTAGCATTGTACCAGTAAGAAAGTAGGCTATATTTTGCACCACTCCACCAAAAATACAGCTCATTGTTTGCTGATTTGGACCAGGAATATGTATCATATCCACAGTGCGACAGGGACTGAGGAAAGTCCCAGGCATAATAGCACAGGAAGAATCCGTTAAAATAGTGTTGGATAATCAAATTGTCTGTATAACATGTAGTACATGTTCATAAACCTTAGATAGTCATGTTCAATGCCAATAACAAAAAAAAAAAAAAAAAGTATCTGAAGTGAACAGAACTAAGCAATATGCAATAGTCAGTTTTTTTTTTTTAGAACCACTCTCCCTGCCTTCCTCTTCTCCCATTACTTGACAGTTATCCGTCAGCATAGGTAATTGCCTAGCAACTGGAATGTTGCATCATGTAGAAGGGGGCAGCAATACTGGCAGGGCCGTCTATAATATGAATAGGACCCCGGGCAAAGCCTTTTCTTGGGCCCCCTGGGCCCTGTCACTGCACCCTCCCTCCCCATTACGCCCAACCCGCAATCACACTGACAGACATACTGACACATACAAACACAGAAAGACACATTAAAACATTCGCAGATACATACTGACACACACATACACTGACACAAATATATACTGGCAAACATTGACACACATTCAGACATACTGATACACACACAGACACATGCATACTCACAGACACATACACTGACAGATATATTGACACAGACACACACAGACACATACACTGACAGGCGTATTGACATACACAGACATACTGACACACACACACACACACACACTGGAACACAGTGAGACATACTGACATACACACACAGACATACTGACATACAAACACACAGACATACACACAGTATGTCTGTGTGTGTTAGTATGTCTGTGTGGTGTGTTAGTATGTCTGTGTGTGTATGTCAGTATGTCTGTGAGTGTATGTCAGTATGTTTGTGTGTGTATATGTCTGTGTGTATCAGTGTGTGTGTGTGTGTGTGTATGTGTCAGTGTGTCTGTGTGTGTATGTCAGTATGTCTGTCATAGACACACACAGACATACTGACATACATACACAAACAGACATACTGACACAGACATACTAACACACACATACTAACACACACACACACACACAGACATACTAACACACACACACATACTAAAACACACACACACATACTAACACACACACACACACACACACAGACATACTAACACACACACACACAGACATACTAACACACATACAGACATACTAACACACACAGGCATACTAACACACACACATACAGACATACTAACACACACACACAGACATACTAACAAACACACACACACACTAACACACACACACAGACATACTAACACACATACAGACATACTAACACACATAGGCATACTAACACACACACATACAGACATACTAACACACACACACAGACATACTAACAAACACACACACACACACATACTAACACACACACACACACACATACATTTAGCCACCCTCCAGGTTCTTACCTTTTTATGGAGGGTGGTTTCCCTGGGGTCCAGTGGCAGGCTGAGGCAGATGGGAGTTCTTCTCTGGAACTCCTCTCCTCCCTGCCTTCCTCCTCCCGCGCGGCTATCTCCGGTGGGAGGAAGTGACACGCGGTACTCACTTCCTCCCAGCCGGTACAGGAAGGGGCCCGGTCGCGCTGTTTAAGCGTCACAGTGCCCGACCGGGCCCCTTCTGCCACATGCCCACAGGGTGGCCCTTAGTGCATGGGCCACCCGGGGGCCTCCTTAGTTGGCGGGCCAGGGGCAGCTGCCCCGTTTGCCCCGCGCTAAAGACGGCCCTGAATACTGGCATACTCACCCCTGTCTGGCATGTTACCAGGTCCCAGCTCACTTAGCTTGAGCCAGCATCATGAGGGCAGGGAGGGAGAGACCTCAGTAAGTTAATGGTGTCTGGGGGGACAGCAGCACTTTACCGAGAAAGTTGTTTGTTATAGATAGACCTGGAAATTTTAATTATCCAAGTTTGGCTTTCTAGGGAACTGAGAAACCATGCGCACTCTAATGAAAGAAAATTACTAATTATAAGCAAGTGGTTTCCATATGATTACATTCTTCTTAACAGCAAGAATAGAGGACTATATGTTGATTTGAGTTTCTTGTCCCACTAGCAAATTATTTATATGTGGCATGTACTTACCTCCCACGAGCTGCTATGTCCGACCGCTCCGCGCAGCATAGTAAAGGGTACACATCTCCCTCAAGCCGCACGGTCCAGCCGATCCACGCGGCATGGCAGCCTTATATAGAGTGTAGGCGTGACGTCACACTTGTTCTTAAAGTGACCACGCCAACATTGATATCCTAATCTATTTTGAGTCGCAATGATGATGTGGACCAATCAGTACATTTAAGGCTTGCTTTGGCTCCTATTCATTGCCCTATCGCGGTTTCTGTTAGATCCTTGTTTGCGTTCCTAAAGATTCCCTTGTAATTTCCTGCGTTTGACCTCGACTTCATATTTGACTTGTGATTTCTGGTATCCTGACCTCGACTTCATATTTGACTTGTGATTTCTGGTATCCTGACCTCGGCTTCGTATTTGACTCATGATTTCTGGTATCCTGACCCGGCTTTGTCTTGACCCTGTTTCTTGTTGTATTAATATGTTAAGTCCGCCCATTCTAAGGCTCTGTAATAGGTCTTTCGGATGTACCTTTTGTGGGTTTCCACTTTTCTGTGTCATGGGGTAAGACTCCTGTGACATATTTAAAATACATGTAGATGTGTGTCTGGCAAGTTATAAATAGTAAAGTAGAATGATCGATTATGGTATTCTTTACATCTCTATCTGTGTAGAGATAATAAAAAATATGTCACTGTGGTGATAACAAATAGAAAGTCAGCCAGATTGCACCAAAACATGATTAGTCAATGCCCGATCTTCCAATCTGCTGTCAAATTCCTGTCTAATCCCACTCTTGACACAAGATCAAACATATATTTCATGGGCATTCCAGTTAAAGCTCTTGAGAATGTATGATATATTTTTCTCTTTATAGTATGCTTCCAATCAAACTATGTACCTCTATTGTTAATCGCCTTGAAGCATGTACATTGACACATACAATGTTACAAACTTGTCATAACAAAAGAATAGAACATAAGGAAAAACAGAACAAATTTAGACCATCTGATGGTCTTCTGTAGATGATCTGTTTCCATGAATAATCCCAGAATAGATTTAAAAGAAAGCTAAAACAAGCTGCACATGAATAAAGCATTACTTGTTTTTGTGTTTTTTTTTTTTTTGTTTTTTTTTTTTACTTTCTGTTATGTATCTATAGTTTTGTTGAATTGTAGGATTCAAGAATACATAAATATGCTAGGTTTGCAAATAAAATATTTTACTTGATATTTGCTTTCATTGGAACATTCAGAGTACATTCCAAGAAACTCTAGTATATACTGGGAAAAACATGTAATGCATGATAGTATAAATCCCAATGTTCTCACTTTGCCGTGATATCCAGTAAGAATACATGCTTCCTGAAGGTTGTGGAGTCTCTCTGAACTGGTAGGATGATTGATGATGTGTGCCTCCTCATTTTTTCTATAGTTTCCTGAGGAGAATTAGAATACTTTTATATTTAATGGATGGTAAATTACAACATTTGTTCTCATTTGCGGGGCTGGCCCTTAAAGGGATATTATAGACATCAAAACAACTTTAGCATAGCAAAGCAGTTTTCATGTATAGATAATGCTCCTGCAATATCACTGCTCAATTCTCTGCCATTTGCAAGTTTAATCAATTTGGGTAAACAAAAAAAAAAAGTTTTACTTTCAATCGCACATTAACTTGATTTAGTAATTTTTTTTATCTGCTGCTCTGTAAATTTAACTTTTATCACACAAAGGATGCACCTGCAAGGTATAGAAAGCTAGTCACAGAGTAGGAGACAAGAAATTCCAGTTAAACAGACTGTGCAACAAGGGAACCTAGCTCATAGCTATAGGCCACCTCTAACAGACACATATTACAAAAAGCGAGCAAACAACGCACGCACACTTGGAAAAAGTCTCTTTGTGATCTTGCCCATTGATACACACATAGTACAGCGGAAATCTACTTATTGTTGACTTGAAAAGGGTGATCTTTGGATTGAAATTGTATGCACTAGCTGAGAGCTTATTGAGTTAGTGTCTGAGGGAATATACATAATCATATCCCTTTGACGACACCTAAGAAGCTGGGGGGGGGGGGGAAGTGCCCGAGGTCTTACAGCTCTTTACTATAACATGCATAGAGCTTTAATATAATATGTACTTGTCCATTCTCTAGTGCTATGTTAATACATTATATTAAATATGATGTATAAAAGAGCATGTCTCTAGATCTGCATTAACCACTACATAAATGGTTTGTTTTTTTACCTTTCTGACTAGAAAAGCATTACTGTTAAAGTAAATTCTAGGTGTGTATACACTCCATTTAAATAACGTGTACTCATTCTTCACACCGTTCTTCTTAAATTGAGTTTTCTGATACAAATTAACAAATTTACCAAAATGAAGATGCATAAAGCAGTTGTCTATGTTTTCATTAGTTTTTGTATATTAACATTGCATGTAAATTGATGAATAAACTGAGATGAAGTTTGTATGTTGAAGATCTGTGTTTACACAACACTTCAAATCAAGAATTCCCAAAATATATTGAAATTGCCTATGCCGTCTTGAAGTAACAAGAATATTAACCACCTTAGCTGCAATGCAGTCAGCTATTTTTATCTAACATTTTCAAGAGAAATGTGTAGTCCCTGTAATTTTTGTGACATTTGCATCTTTGCCAGATCACTGACAGGGTCTTACCTAAGGTGGGAGTCGGTAAGCAGAGATTTGTGCTCACCCTTGCAGATATACACAGTCCAAGGTGATAAGGTTAGAAACCACTTTGAATCCTTGCACGGGGGCTGTGAATGAAAGGTGCTCCAATTTGCAGTACAGACAAGGACCCAAGCAGATGGATCATCGAAGATAAGCCAAAGTCAGCTAATGCCAGAGGTCAGGATAAACAAGGAGGAAAGCCAAGGTCAGGAGTCAGGGTCAATCTGGAGAACAAGTATCAGAAGACAAAACAGGAACAACACACGATCACCAGAATCAAAGAACGGACAATGTTCTCATGGATAGGCAGGTTTAAATACCTTGCTAATGAGCCATGTCCCTCAGGTGAACATAGAGAGACAGGAGCATCCACAGGTAAAGTCAAGCCCTCTAGTGCTGCAGACAAGACAGGATAAACATAGGCAGAAACAAAAACTCAAGTGTGGCCCAGAGGCAAGACAGCAGGACTAAGGCAGAAAGAGTCCAGAGTTCAAATCCCTTGTTGGGCACTTCTGGGGCGACTATGTCTGGATGTCATGGTGAGAACTGTGACAATCACACCCCCAAATGTTAGTCTTGATCATAATTATGGTAGTTGCCTGAACACTACTGCAGCTGTTGTCCAGAGTAATACATTGTCCAGAGTAATGCTAGATACTGTTAATCTGTAGACACTTTTCCATAGGGGCATTTGGTAGAACCCTACCTGTGTTTATGCAAAAAAAAAATGTATTTACAGTAGTTTAGGAGCACTGAGATTTTTTTCTAGAGGTCATACAGAACAAACAAATAAAACATGGTGTGGAAAAAGTAGGTTAACTACTGTCATAGCATGTGTTTTTGTGTATCAATTTTTATATATATATATATATATATATATATATATTTTTTTTTTTTTATTTATTTTTTTTTAAACTGTCGTTCTTGAATTCAGTAATGATTTTCAGTACTGTAGGGCCCCTCCTCAGATTGTTGGCTGTCTTGAGAAGCTATCTTGAAAGTAACTAGGCATGCCAAACGAGACAGATTTGACATATTTTCTGTCAGCAGGTTTTACACATGCCTATCGTAGTATCCTTTATTGAATTGCCCACAAGTGGAGACATGCTCTAGGCATTTGTATTCAGAGGCCATCATTTGCTCATACCATAGCCCACTGGAGAGAGAAGCAAGAAGCCATCTTGGAAGTTGCACAGA